ATATATATATATATATATATATATATATATATATTATATATACAGTAAAGACCTTTGGTTATTTGTAACACATGGAATAAGGGGTTGGTTCCCTCTCTCTCCCTTCAAAAGCTGTGGAACAAGGGGGAAAAGGCTGGGGGGAAAGAGGTGGGTCTGACACAAGGCACTGGCTTGACATGGCAGGAGAGAGGGAACGGGACACGTCACGGGAGGACTGGGAAAGAAGCTGCTGGTGTCTGCAGTTGGAGACGATGGCAAGCGGCCCGTTCCTTGGTGTTTGCCTGTGCCCGGGCCAAGACCTGGCTTAGATGTCCCCCTGCAGCTAGTCTCCCCCCCTCTGAAAAGGAGGAGGGGAAAGAGGAAATTCTTTACTGGGGGGGGGGGGGTGTCCAAGAGCGGATGCGCCGCAACTTGCATCCCCCAAACGTAAGTGGAGTAAGTGGAGCAGGAGAGAGAGAGAGAGAGAGAGAGAGAGAGAGAGAGAGAGAGAGAGAGAGACTTCTAAAAAGTAGCGCTCATCTTCATCTTAACAATTGGAAACGATTGATTGTTATTCAAGGAAAAAAACCTGGGACCTGCCCAGAGCTTCTAATTCAATGATCAATCTGCAAACCAGCTGCTGCTTTCAAATCAAGGGCTGCCATCCATCCTGCCTTGATGTGTCTTTGCAGGAACTAAAGGTCCGAGGATCTTTACAGCAGCCCTTGACTTACGACCATAATTGGGACTGAATTTCCGTTGCTAAGCAATGAGGTCACTGAGTCACACCCGCTTTTACGACCTTTTTGCCACTGACCTTAAGCGAAATTGGCTTTCTCCATTGACTTTGCTTGTCGGAAGCCCGCTGGGAAGGTTGCAAGTGACCCCCAGGAACACTGCAATCATCGTAAATACATGCTGATTGCCAAGCATACAAGTTGTGCTTAGCGACTGCTGGGGTACCACAACAGTCACTGAGCATAAGGACCTGTCATAAAGCCCCATTTTTTTCCAGCTTCGACGTAATTTCAAACGATCGTTAAACAAATGGTTGCAAGTCAGGGACGAACTGTATTATTAAGCACTACTACTGTCACTTATGACAAAATAAGAAGCCACAAAACTAAAGTTTGCGTGCCTCCTTCTCGTTTTCCTCCTCCTTGCACCCTGAGGATGGCCTCTCCTCAGCTGGGTGAAGAATCTCAACAAGGGCTGGGGGAAGAAGCTGGTCGCCTCACCAGACATGGCTATCGGGACGAGTGGCAAAAGGCCAACTGGCCGTAGCCACATCCCAAAGTTTCTCTCCTACTTTTAGAGGTAAAATATTGCTGAGAGCTGGCATGTTCAGAAAAAAAATGACAACTAGATGGCACCAGAGCCACGCCCCTCCAGTCTTTATCCATCTTCACAGGAAAAAATGGACACAAGCTGCTCTTCCCATTACTAGTAGCCCTTCTCTCCTCTTGGCTGACTGAGCCCTCTCAGACTTGTGGGACTTCACGCTGCCTAATCTATTCGTCACTGTTCCCTTTTATCCACGTGGCCCTAAGTAGAGCCCTGCTTAGCTGTTCCATAAATTCATCAGGCCCTCTTACCAAGACCAATTGGATGTCAGCACACAAAGAAGATGGCAGAAAGGCTCAGGGGATGCTTCCTGGCCTTGGCGTTAGGCTACCTTGCAGTCCCTCTTCCTATCGGTTGCCCCCACTTTGAAGGGAAAGAGGCGAGATCTAACCATCGGTCTGGGTCTACCATTTGGAGGAGTGTCACTGAGGGAGGGCAGAAGATGCCATCAAACTGAAAGACAGCACGAACTACACTTACTGCGGATAGGCAGAGATCGATTACGACACTGCCGGACTTACCCTGGAGCCTTACTAATTGACACAGGACAAGATAAACCAGGCAAGGAAAGAAGGGAGAAGGAGTGGTCAGCAGGTCCCTTTTCTCCTACTTCTGCAGCACCATGAAGGAGAAAGTGACCCTGCCAGAGTCCTCCTTCCAAGGCAGCTATTAATACAGAAGAGATCTGCCCCTAAGCCTTGCAACTCTACCTCAAATTAAGTCCACTAAAACTGTCTTGTGTGTGTATGTGCACGCATCTTTAAAGTCAGGGTGGACTCCTGACGAATGGCTGGGCAAGGCCCTCCCGTTTTCAAGTTACGATTTCAGAAGTTTTTTTTGCTGTTGCCTCCTTCCCTGGGCTGAGGAGTATGACTGGCCCAAGATTGCCAACCTGGCTTTGTATATAAAGCAGGACCAGAACTCAACAGTCTCCCAGTTTCTAGCCAGATGCCTTAACTACACCACCAAACCGGCTCTCTGCTAAAACTATGCTGCCTCCTAGCCCAACCTGGTTTCAAACCAATCTCCTACATTTGGAGGGGAGGGAGGGGAGAGAGAAATGCCCTGAAAAGCGTTAACGGTCCTCGTGAGGCGTTGCGGACATGTGCAGTACAGTGCATGGCAGTAATCAGCTGAGCACAAAGAACCCCCTCATTCCCACCCACCCCATCACCCCACAGCTGGCTAGAGAGACAGCCAATACCAAGTTCCAAGCTGGTCATAACACGCATGCATAATTTGTGAACATTTACATTAGATTTTTATCATCTTCTCTTGATTCTTCCAGGCTTCAGACACAAACCAACTAAACGGCGAGAGCTTCTCTCTTATTCCATGGTATAATCATGCAAGACAATTTTTTTTAAAATTTATTACTTTTACGATAACAGGTTTTACTGTAACAGGGTGGCAGGTTGGTTGTTTTCTTGCTTCAAATCAGCAGGTATTTTAGGTAGGAGTGTGTGTGTGTGTGTGTGTGTGCAGACACAAGAAGGCACACAGCTTGAGTGTCATGGCCAAATCAGCCAGAGTTCCCGACCGAGTGCACAAGCATCAGGCCATACAGAAAAGCTCATCCGTAGGCCAAATGGGAAGAGGAAGAAAGGGGGGGAAGGGAGGTTGCTGAAGGGAAGAGATGGGGAAAAGATAGGATGTAAAAGGCCTTCCTGGCCCTATGAAAGCCGATGCACAGCACTGCATGCAGCCTTGGGAGGGAGGATCACCAGAAAGGCTTTCTCCGTGACGGCTAGTGCAAGGGTAAATAATAAGCTAAATAACTCCTGCCTGCTACTCTCTCCGCTCAGGATCCTATCAGCGAGTCTTCCGGAGCTGCCCAACAACTCTCGGGGCCTTAGCCAGGAGTCAGCGGGACAGAGAACTGAGGAAAGGTAGTAGTTGAAGGCTTCTGCCTCCGTCTGCTGAGCGTCTCTCTCTCTACCCCCTACGCCGGGGGGGGGGGGGGGGGGGGGGGTCCCGGGGGGGGGGGGCGGGGGGGGGGCCCCAAACCCGGGGGGGGGGGGGGCCCCCCCCCCCCCCCCGGGGGGGGGGGGGGGGGGGGGGAGAGCATCTATGCAGGCAGTCTGCCGGGGAGAACTCAAAAACTGGATGGAGGAGGGGTGCTCTCTAGAGATGGGTGCCGAGAAGGAATAGCAACCCAAATATATTACTAGGACAATCATCTAGGGGTCTGAGTGTGCAAAGGGAAAATAAAAGGAAGACACATCAATTATTACATGATTCTGTTATCTCAAAACACAAGCCACAAGCCTTCATTTCATTAAGTATGTCATAAACAGAGCCGGCTGTTTTATTGTAGGGATTTTCACTTGCATACTCCTCCTCTCTTTCCAACTTTCTGGGGGGGAAATGGGTCTTTTCCCCCAAAACTGCCTTGCAGCAGAATATTGCTGGACTTAAAAGTTTAGGCCCATTTTTTTTTTCTCTTTACCTCACTGTGCAACTTGTGAGAACAACCCTGAACTCCACCCAACATTGCAGGGCTTGCAAGGGGAGGGAGAGTCTGAGACGCTGGTGGGACTATTCTGTGCATATGTAGGGAAAAACACAGGGTGGTCCTGGGCCAGTGGGCCATGATTAGCGTGGAGACAGCCACAGATGTTTGTTTGTTTTGGCAAGGCCTCAAGTGGCTTACATCAGTGTTGCAACCAACATACTCCCCCGCTACTATCTTGCAACACTGTACTCTAGGCAAGCAGGTGGTGGGGTCGAAGCAGGCACTTCTTCCCCCTCTCCCTTGGAGCTGTTCTGCTTTCAAGGCCCCCAAATCTGGCTCTGCCAGAAAGAAAATGAATTCGGATAAAAATCTAGGTCAGACACAGCCACAAAACCAAATAGGAAAGGAAAAACCCCAAACCAAGAAGGAATGCAAACACCTGGAAAACAATGGTGCAAGGAGGGCGAGTCTTTGGAGTGCAGAGCACGTGGGGATGCCTCCCCCTACAAAGCATGACACCGCAGAGCTGGCTCAACCACCAGGCCCAGTCCATGCCATGGGGTGAGGGGGGAGGGGGTGTCATACATTGCTTATATTCTCACCGCATCCCAGGAGAGGCCCCAGAGGCTAAGCATACAGGCCGGCCCATGCCTCTGGTCCAAGGTCCGTATCCTGGAGTAAATTTGTGCAGCAGTGCATTGACGAACCTCATTCGGCCTCCCGATGCACTTCTGAAGCATCTGCTCGGCAGATGGGGCATGTGCGGTTTGCCTGCAACGATCAATGAAAGCATGACTTCGTATATGGCCTTTGGGTCAAACTCACCGACTGGAGAATTTCCAGCAATTCCACTAAAAGGACTTCTCTGCTTTGAGGGCTGCCGGTTTCAGAATTACTAAATTGAAATGTTGTCACATCCCTTCTGAAGGGGAAGTCACAAAGTCCAAGCAATTCAATAAGCAACTCAATAGGTAAAGGTTCCCCTCGCACATACGTGCTAGTTGTTTCCGGCTCTAGGGGGCGGTGCTCATCTCCGTTACAAAGCTGAAGAGCCAGCGTTGTCCGAAGACGTCTCCGTGGCCATGTGGCCAGCATGACTCAACGCCAAAGGCGCATGAAACGCTGTTACCTTCCCACCAAAGTGGTCCCTATTTTTCTACTTGCATTTTTTACGTGCTTTCGAACTGCTAGGTTGGCAGAAGCTGGGACAAGTAACGGGAGCTCACTCCATTACGTGGCGCTAGGAATTTGAACTGCCCAACTACCGACCTTTCTGATCAACAGGCTTAGCGTCTTAGCCACTGAGCCACCGCATCCCTAAGCAAGTCAATAGTGTTTATCAAAATATTCAATCTACAATGAATGGAATGAATTCAATTAATTCATCAAAGTGGTACCGGTACTCAAAGAATGATGTATTATACGTATAGTCAGTCATTGACCAGAATTTCTGTGGCTAAGCAAAGTGGTTGTGAAACATGTGATTGCACCACTTAGCAATGGCAGTTCCGATATTTCTAGTTGCTGTCATGAGATGAGGATTGTACTGTTATTAGGTAAGGACCTCATGCTTCTCCTACCCTATACAGACTTCCAGTTCTGACCTGCTGTGTCTTCCCTCGCTGTGCCTGGCAAATTCCCTTTTTGGCAGATGATGCTGTTACCATACCACACTTGCCTCCCCCTTCTCCCCACCCGCCTATATCCCTCCCATCTTTGCCCTTCTGGTCGTCCTGCAGAAGCACAAGGCCTCGCCAGGAGTCAGAAGCTGCATTGCCATTGGTTAAGTGCACCTCAGCAGCAGAGGTAGGTTGCAGTGGCAGCATGCAAGGCAGCCAAAGGGCAGCGATGAGAGGGGAGGAGAGGCAGGTGGAGCGAATGCTGGGGCCGTAAATACGAGTAGGCTGTCAAACAAGCACATTTTGATCGTATGACCATGGGATCCTACCGCAACAGAGGTAACCCGTTAGGAACTGGAACAATTTTTTCCAGATCTAAGTTGTTAAATTATTGCATTTGGAGCAATCTGTGTAATTTTAGTCACTCTAGGAAAGGAAATCGTGGAGGAGAAAAATGAGAATGAGAGCAAGAAAGGTGAAAGGATTTTGAGTTTTTTTTATTAGCGAAAGAAAAATGACAATGAAGGGTAAACTCTACAGATATTTAAGAAGTATCATATATGCTGGTGAATATTTCTCCTTTTCACGTAATCCTAGAAGTCATGGTCATGTAATGAAGCTAGCAGCACAATTAGGTTCCATCAGAATAAAATAATGTGCAATGGGGCTGTGCAAAGCATTGAAAAGAGATGTACTTTGCAACACATGGAATGAGAATGAATTACCTGCCCTGGAAGAATTAAAGGTTCCCCTAATTGCTTTAAAAGCTATCCCCAGCTGTCTCCTCTTTGCTCAGATACCAAATTAGCATTATTGCAGAGTTCTTCTGTTGATTGCATTGATATGCCAGAGTACTTTTACAATATTGTCTTCATTCTGGACCGCTTTTCATATTGCCCACTTAAGTACTAGTCCATCCAATCAAGCTTTGCTCCCACCCACCACCTTTGGAAGCCAGTAAAGATTAGCCGAGACTGCTAATATACAATGTCTTATATACATTGTGTATAATCAGTTTCTTAGATAATATTCACATTCTAGAAAGTGGAAGTAGCTGGATTAATGGAACCACTACTCTATGACTGCCAGAAAAATGACATGGGTGTATCTATGTTGTGAAACCAGGGAAGCCTTTGCCTTTACGGTTACTTTAGAAACCAACCGGACCCCCCCCCCCCCACAAAGAAGACAGGTACTATTTGAATAATTTATATTGGAGTCTGATTAGAGAAGACTGTCAAACCAGCCAATTTTACCTTTAACCATTTGTCGATGCATTTAGCATGGAACTCGTGGTTGCAGGGCAGAACTCGCAGCAGCTGCCTGATTTCAAAGTCACTGAAGCACACCACACACCTGGGAAGGGTGAAAAATCCAACCAGTAAGGTTGCAGGAGAGCATGGCATACAGAGATACTTCACAGTAAAGCAGCTTCTTCGAGAACTTACAAGGTTTGCTCAGACTGATGGCTCTCTGGGTTAAAGCGGTAGGATGGAAGGTGCTCAATATCTGCTTTGGTGAGTCCCCGTGGCTTGGCCTCCCCTAATCTTTCAGCTAAATTCAGTAATGCCTGATAGAAAAGAAAAGAAAGGAATAACAAAGCAAGTGATTCCATTGCTGAGAATCTTAATCCTTTATAAACAATGCGATCTATAACTTCAGGAAAGACAGAGAAACGAATCTTTTGCCATCAAAACTTGGAAGAAATAAAAGACAGTGAATTGTCTTTTGCTGAAGTTTAGCACTCGGAAAGCATTCATATCTTTCCTGACAACTCATTTTTATTCTGATTATCCATCCACTTTAATTAGCTTTATCCTTTACATCTTTGTCTGGCCTTCCTTGTCCACTTTTTAAAATGTCACCCTTGGTCCTCAATGCCATATGTTAAATGAACCTTCCATCAGATTTGTATTCCTCTGCCATAAGAAATGGTCCAACAAAGGAACAGTATCTGCTGCACAATTGCGTTCTCCAGTTACTGCCACTCCTTAAGTATAATCTCAGCGGTCTACTCTCAATTGTGGGTGTCAGGGCAGAGCTGACAGGTGTGAAGTTTCTTGGATCTACTACTACAACTCAAGATCTACCAGCCAGAACTTCTTCCACACATACTCTCGCCACCAGCAGCAAGTACTAAAAGTCACAATTAAAGAAATCCGAGGACCAGAACAGATAGGAGCTCATACTTCTTCCACTCCTGGTGGAAAAACGTTTCGTCCTTCCCAGTCTTTCAGGAGTTAACATCCTTGGTCTGTTGTAAACCCCCTCCCCACATCCAAATCTTTCTGCCCAAGAGCCCTTCTCCAACAATCAACACACAGAAGCAAACTTACCTCATAGTTTTCCATCTCTACATCATCCACATCCAAGTCCAAACTTATTGTGGGCCCCACAGCTGTTGGCGACACAGGAAGCATTGAACTGCAATTTTAAAGAAATAGATAGCAGTGAACAGAGGGGGCAGGAACACATGCACTCTTGGCACACCAAAATCTATGTTTTGATGGAGGATATTGCTGGGGAAAGATGGTGGTCCATACTCCCAGAGTAGCTCTTAGGGAAAGCTGAGTTTTTAATTTTGCATGCTTTATTCCAACGAAGGAAGGATATTCGGGGTTCTCCTCATTGTTATCACAGATACTCACAGAAAGTATGGCAGGAAGCTTGGATAGTATGGCGGAGGAGGAGGTGGCGGAGGAGGCAGTGGTTGCTGTAATCTGTATCGCTGGGAGTTCAGCCGCCGGGGCATCATATGTGGATATGGCTGTGGGAACATCACAAGCTTCGTCAATGCTGCCTAATCTGTAAGCTCTGCATCCATTCCATGCCACGTGAAAAAAAAAAGAATTAACATATTCTATCCAAGCAAAGTTTGCAGAGAAAAGCTGGGTCCTTTACCATGAACTGTTTTGCAAATCAAAAAAAAGAACGTTCTTCTTTTTTTTGTTTTTACTATGTTGCATCATTTATTCCTGTTGTCCTAAGTAACAGAAAGAAGTTATGCAAAGCACTGGAAACCACATTTCTCTGTCACTGGAATCTTAGTTGGCTACCTCTCTCACATGTAAAACATTGCAGTATTTCTCCCTCTGTAACATCCTCACAATCCTTACTTGCAACCCCCCGATTTCCACCTAATGACCCACGGGTCTTGGGGTTATGATGGCAACCAAAACTGCCATTTTAGCTGGGATTGTCATTGCTGTGTGATGCAGTCATGTGACATTGTTCCGCATGACTGCATCACCTAGCAATGGCAGTTCTGGACTACCTGTAAGAAAGGACACCAGCCCATCCACTGGGATGCCTGTCATATACTCTCTTGAAGGGAATGAGGGTCTTTTCCTTTATTATCCTTTTGTTTATCCATTATTGTCTTGTAGTATAACATGGAGGGAACATAAGACAGACCGAAGACAACATAGGCGCTTGGTTAACATAGGAACAAATGAGCCTTTATTGAACAGACAGTCCTTGACACACAACCACAACTGAGCCCAAAATTTCTGTCAGAGACATTTAAGTGAGTTCTGTGATCCATTTTTATGACCTTTCTTGCCACAGTTGTTAAGTGAACCACTGCAGTTGCTAAGTTAGTGACCCGTGAATCTGGCTTCCCCATTGATTTTGCTTGTCTGAATGTCGCAAAAGAGGATCAACATGACCTTGGGTCATAGCAACGGTCATAAATATGAACCAGTTGCCAAGCATCTGAATTTGGATCATTCATGACCATGGGGATGCTGCAAAGGTCGTAACTCTGAAAAACAGTCATAAGCCACATTTTTCAGTGCTGTTGTAACTTTGAACGATCACTAAACTGTTGTAAACCGAGGACTACCTGTACCTTAAGGTTTTCAGTGGCTTCCCCTATTTCTATAAACTAGAATCTCTATTGCATCAACTGCCTTTCCTGGCCCTAACGTTATTCCTAACCATGTTTCTCTGTCAAGGGGAAATACTCTCATGTCTAAACCTGAGCCTCCCTTAGACTTGCCTATCCACCTACATCTTCTAAATCCCTCTCTACCTTTCCTTTCTTTGCTGGAATATAACCTGGCAGGAGGTACCCAATTTCTATCCTTCAACAGGTTCCATCACCCAATCACCACACAGCTACCACCCTACCCCACCCCTCCAGGGTATGATGGCTCTTGGTGGCCAAACAAAAGGGTTTTGTTTTATTTTTAAAGACAGCCTCTCTCTGCCTGGTTCGGAGGCCACAGAGAGCAGTTTTTGCTTTAACCTGGCACTTACCACTCCAAACGGCAGTTCTTGGTGAAGTGGGTCGTGCGTGTGTGGAAGATACAATGGTACAGAGGGCGATAAGGCAGGAGTATGGTGGGAAGGAGAATACGAGAAGCCCCCCATTGAGTGCTGTTCACCCCGAAGCTCCACCTCGTTTTCTATCCTCTGAAGTGGCTGTGGGAAAAGGATATACACATTCTGCATCGGCAAATGCTCCCCAATAGGTCTGAAGAGTGAAAAGCAACTAGAACTGGAACCAAGAGATGGCTAACTTTTGCGTTACCATCAATAATTTACCACGTACTGTACCTCCACAAGATTAATTTGTTGAACTAATACAGTATATAGAATCAGGGGAAAAGCCATTTAATTGAGTCTAACTCTCTACTCAGGAAGCTTTTCCTAACATTAAATTGGAATGAATTTTTCTTGTAAGTCTATCGTGCCATGTGCCATACTCTGGAATGAGAGGGAACAGGTCTTGATTCATTCCCTCCCCCCCCCCCACTCCAGTTCTTCTACTATCCCTTGCTCAACTAAGTTTGATCCAGTGGTTAGAAAGAAAGAGCCAAAAACAGCTGATTTTTTTGTGCCTTGCTCTATTATCTGTAGGAAAAAGCGATCAACAAAGTAAGTCATATTTCCTGGAAAGACCAACTCTGTTCTTTAGGGATTGGCTACTGTATTCCATAGGACTTGCTTTCTTCTCTGAAGGCTCACGGCTTATTTCTGCACTAAGATCTGAAAGCCGCTTCTGAGTTGCAGGATGAAAAACATCTTCCAAATCTGCTTTTTACTCTTGGCTGCCTCCTTGGATTATCTTCCTTAGGGAACAAGGTTTATTTTGTGAGGTTCTAGTATCTTTTTCATCTTTCTCATTAACCAAACTATGGCTACTCACTGCTGCATCATCTGACACTTTCTTCAAGCCTTGCTCCAAGTTTTCTTTCTTTCTCTTTCTCTCTTTCTTTCTCTTTCTTTCTTTCTCTCTCTCTCTCCCCCTTCTTCCTTTCTTCCTTCCTTCCTTTCTTTCTTCCTTTCTTTCTTCCTTCCTTCCTTCCTTCCTTTCTTTCTTTCTTTCTTTCTTTCTTTCTTTCTTTCCTTCCTTCCTTCCTTCCTTCCTTCCTTCCTTCCTTTCCTCCCTCCCTCCCTTTTTCTCTCCCCTCCTTCTAGATTTATACGTCCACCCAATTCACCAGACAGATTCTGGGCAATTTACAATTCCACGGAATTAATTATTGGATAGAATATTATATGAAATAAAACAATACACTGCAACATAAAATAACAGGATATAGTATTGTTAATGACAGTAACAACAGAAGAAACTAAGGAGCACATACCTTAATTCAATGGTCTGACATTATACACAGGCTGATTCTGTCTGGCCCAATGCTTAGGGGAAGGACCAGGCTTTTAGCCTCAAGAGAAATGATGTTCCAGAAGTACAAAAAATAAAGACACATCCCTGGACCCCAGTAGCGACACTATTTTGTGGAAGGGACCCAAAGCATTTCCACTTTGCTGGATCTCACAGGATAAGCACAGACAATTGGAGGCAGGCAGTTCTCCAAGTAGCCCTGCTTTGTGCCACAAAGAGCTTTACATATAACAACACTCTGAATTGCATCAAGAAGCTTTTAGGGAGTCAGTGTAACTTGCAAAGCATGGTGTGGTGTGGGTACACTGAAGTGTTTCCATCATTATTTGTGCTTCTGCATTCTGAACAATTTCTACTTTTGGTTTTCAAGAGTAGCTCCAGGTCGAGGACTCTGCAGTCCTTTAGACAGGAAATGACTATGGCATGAGTGACCATGTGCAAGTTTCTTCTTCTATGCTACAAGGTACTTTCTTTGATTCCAGGGATTTTAGGAAATCAGTAGATGGGATCAGTGGTGGGATTCAATTTTTTTTACTTCTGGTTCTGTGGGCGTGGCTTGTTTGGTGGGTGTGGCTGGTGGTCATGTGACTGGGTGGGCATGGCCAACCGGGCAAGGTGGTGCTGCACCTTGCTGCGAGTGACGTTGAGTTGGCCATGCCCACTCAGTCACATGACCAATGCTGCAGAGATAGGGTGATTTCCTACGTACCTTTCCCCCGCCCTTGGGATGACAAAAAAAAAAAAAGTCCAACTAAAGATCACGACTGCCTGCCTGCCGAATTGGTTTTGTTTTGGGGTGTTTTTTTGTTTTGTTTTTTGCCAGAAGCCCCTCGGAGATAAATTTGTACCGCCAAATCTTACTGTACCTCATTGTTGCAGCGCTGCCTGTTGCTGCTGCGGCCGTCTGGCTGCCCAAGTAAAGGACCGCACCAGCTCAGGGCGACTGTGAGGAGCAAGAAGGGAAGCCAAGGCACTCACCTCATAGCAGTCAACTTCGCTCTCTCTCACTCTGGTTAGGCACTCCTGGCATGCACAAGGAACGTGAAGGAAGACTTCTCGTGAATTCAGGGGTTATACCTCTCTCAATGATGAGTTGGCGGCGATCTAATGAAACATCTTCCAGCTCTTAAAAGATCAACTTTAAGAGCGCCCCCATGGAAGAAGCCGAGAATGAGAGCAAAAGTAGCGGCGGCAGGGGTGACAGAGGCGTGTGATGCGTCCCACCGCAGTCCCCTCCTGGGTGATAGCCACGGCTTTGGCACCTGCTCTTTCCCCCAGAGGCGCGGTGTCTGCCTCCCTTAACACTCCTTGTGGAGGGACACACACGCCCATCACCCCCACCGCCGCTGCTTTTGCTCGGTTCTCGGCTTCTTCCATGGGGGTGCTCTTAAAGTTGACCTTTAAGTGGTGCTGGGACATCCGCCAGCCTGCCTGGCGCCCACCTGGAGCACACTTTCTTCCTTCTCCTGGCGGATGCGCTTCTTTCACACTGGACCAGCCAGCCAGCAAGTGACCACATGTCCTGGGGCTTCTCGCTCCCCTTATTGCAAGATGCCTGCAGCTGCTGCATGCTTTTTTCGGTGCAGCTGCAGTCCAGCAGCCACACTGAAAAAAGCACACCCTGTTCTATATGCCAGGCCCAGCAAGTCCAAGCAGCCGGTGCATAGAAAAGGGCTGCGCTGGACCGTTGTAGAAGGGGAGCGAAGCCGGAGATCAGTAGCTGCCTCTTTCGCAATGCAGAAATCCTCCCCGAATCGGCTGGCTGGTCTTCTCTTTCTCCACCTGTTTTGTTTTGTATGGCCGACGAGGAGGAGATCAGCCGGCCAAAAGTGGGGGGGCTGCTGGAGGTGACCCTTTTTCGGTCTCTTTCAGGCAGAAATCCTCCCTGAATTTGCCAGCTGGTCTCTTCCTCCTCGGCCATACAGAACAAATAGGCAGAGAAGGAGACCAGCTGGCCGATTCGGGGAGGATTCTTGCGCTGCGAAAGAGGCGGCTACTGATCTCCAGCTTCACTCCGCTTCTCCAATGGTCCGGCGCCGCACTGTTCTATGCGCCGGCTACTCGGATTTGCCAGGCCTGGCACATAGAACAGGCTGTGCTTTTTTCGGTGTGGCTGCTGACTGCAGCTGCATCAAAAAAAGCACGCAGCAGCTGTAGACATCTCACAACAAGGGGGGAGAGAAGCCCCGGGACATCCGCCCACCCACCTGCTGGCTAGTCAGGCCTGGGCTGCAAGAGGCGCACCTGCAGGGAGAAGGAAGAAAATGTGCTCCGGCAGGACGGGCAGATGTCCCAGGGTTGCTGCATATGCACACTGCATGTGTAGTGGCTGCACATGCAGTGCGCATGTGCAGCAGCCCTGGGACATCTGCCCGAGCTGCGCCACGGCCACCACGTGGTAGGGAAAGCTAGGAGTGACCAGGGCAAGTGGGCAAACGGGCCGGGGCCGTGGCCAACCAGGGGTCGCCATCAGTTCGGCGACCCACACCACATCACTGCTACCGGTTCGCCTGAACTGGTGCGAACTGGTTGAATACTACCTCTGGATGGGATATGCTACAAGTTTCTGCAACAATAGCAGATGCAGGTGTGGGTAAATAAAGAGCACTGATACTTCTTCCTTCTGATCCAATTTATGCCATCTCAAGAAACTTACCATGCGAGGATGCTGTGGCTGGAGTGGGACAAACTGGCCAAGGGCTGCCATATGCGGAGGCTGGTGTGGTGGCACAGGTGGCGGAGGGTGCAGGATATAATGATCACTGGAAATGAGCGGTGGGAATGTTTGATAAGAGACATGGAGCTGTTGCATGGCACAGGCCTGGATCAGCTGTAAGGCAAAAACAGAAAGTGTCCTCAAAAGAAAGCTACCTTCAGTGCATTTAGGATCAACATGTCTACCTGAAAAACAATTGAGCTCAGCCTAGCAATAAAAAGGGAAAAATCCATTTGGCAGCAGAATGCCATCTCCAAAGATTATATTGCAGATGTTTCATTACACTACTAAGTAACATCATCAATACGCGCATGGTATTTCCTCCTTTCTCATCCTCCTTGCCTTTCCAGCTTGATGGGGTGTTGTTTTCTTTTTGGCAGTTCCTTGAGCATGGTTCTGTGCTTATTTCTCTGAAGTTAGTCCCTGCTTACCAGGATGCTGGAAGCCCCACTCTCCCACATACAGTCACATGATCACAATCCTGCTCCTTGGTAACCTGTTCACACTTACAATTGGTTGCCAAGCACCCCACAATCATATGAACATCATTTGCAATCTTCTCTGCTGGCTTCCCCAGAAAGTCAATGAGGAAGCCAGCAGGGAAGATTGCAAGCTGATGCTGCTCCTTCTAGCCACGATGACTCCCTTTTCTCTCAGGGGGCTGGCTGAAAGCTCTGCCTGCTCAAGGACTTACGCTGTATGTTATATCTGCCTCCTGTTTTTTTTCTTTTGGGTTTACTTAGTATGTTGGTAACTTAAGATGTCTTGGAGGGTTTAGTTGGTTTCTTTAGTTTATTTAACTGAATCTCGTAGGATAAGCATAGAAAATTGGGAACAGACATCCTCAAAATCCAGCTCTATCCATTAAGATAATGATCAGCACCTCAATTTGTACCCAGAAGCCAGTGCAGCTCACAAAGTAATGCTGAAGTAACGGTGCATCATGGTGGTACCAAGGCATGTCCGTAAGTACCAGCAGTGCCAAATTCTGGACTAACTGCAGCTTCTATGTGCTCTTCAAGGGTCCCATAAGACCCAACTGATTAAGCAGAACCTCACATTTCAGAGGCACAATTGATACACAAGATGAATTTGGGCCAAACTTCTCCTGGCAATGGCTATCACCCCAGCCACCTTTTCACAATCTTTCTCCCAAAGGAGGGAAGTTGGAAACTCAACTGGAAATATTCAGTATTGCTGGGTTGAGTAATGGTTCTTGGGTAGCTGGGGGTGGGAGAACCACTACTTAATTAAATACAAACAAGATCACCCTTTCACTCAAAGATGAATTAATCACGACTCCCATATAATCGTAACCAGACAAAAGGACATCAAGAGTTTATAATTCCAAGAACTCTGTATAATTCTCCAGGATCAACAGGATTAAAGCTTTCCCAGGAAGAACATGAATGTGTCTTAGTCAAATTCAGAGGACCCACATCCAATCTGCAACCACATTGTGATCAGACTATGTTAGGGATCTGATTTGACCATCCGTATCATATTGCCAGTGTCCCAAGATGAATCAAGCATGTGACTTCTTCTGCATGTCAGGCCCTTAATTACTTGGGTCAAGTTCATAGCCGTCATGAACCCCCAACCACATGTACAAACAAGTATTGGTAATTCGTGCCAGGTCATCCTCTCATTAATCAATTCCTGCTCTTTTTAAGCCAAAGGACTCACAGGGGGTGGGAGGCAGCAGAGTGGATAGTGCTGTCCACTGAACATCACTGAGCATGCTGGGAGCTGCTGCGCACTACAGCCAGGTATGTGCTGGCCAGTGTGAATGGGGAAGCCTTGTGTTGTTACTGTGGTCACCGTGTAGGAGAGAGGGACAGCTCCCTGATGCACCTGGAAGGCAAGGGGAGATGATAAAGCATAACCAAGTCACATCCAAAGTATTTTACAGTCTCCCACTAATCTTTTTAATATATGAGTGTAGAATTGACCCTAAGCAATAATAAAAAAAAAAAGGAAATGCTAGTCAGATGCAAACCATAAAAGGAAATGATTTCAAACCAGCACAAACACCAAAGAATAAAGATTAGGGGTAACAAAGGCATATAAACCTGGTGATAAAAGTTTGAGATAACCAGAACATAGTATTATAAACAATTCATTGAGTGTTCATGATCTAAAAATTGAAATGGTAATGGGAAAATTTCTCCTGAAAAATACTTATCTCTTCCCAGATTCTCATGCATATATTGCTAAACCACCACCCCAGCTTTGTCTAATAATCTAATAGTCAAGTTTTTTTTTCTCTATTTATAAATTGTATATCCTGCATTTTCACTATTCCTTAAGAAGCTAAAGTGTTCTAATAATAATCCATTTCCAGGTTGCTTTGTTACCTTTCCTGAAAGCAGTGCTTTTTATCTTTATTTCATATGCGTTGCTTAGATCGTTGCTTATTCAGTTTTCTTTTATGTACAGACAATGCCTATGATAGGTTTATATTTCACTACATTACATTAGCTTATACCTCACACTAGGCTCAAAAGCTAACAGCAGCACAATCTGGAATCATTCTTCTTTTTTTCTTGAAAAACATTTTCCCTATGTTATTCCATCAGTCTAACACATTTTTATGATGGAACAGTAACTGCATAGTCTAAAAAGTGTTAAATCTTTTCCTGTGTATTAGCAAGAGCACTTAGACTTATATACCGCTTTATAGTGCTTTAAAGCCTTCTCTGAGCGGTTTATAGAGTTAGCATATTGCCCCCAACAATTTGGGTCCCCATTTTACCCACCTCGGAAGGATGGAAGGCTGAGTCAACCTTGAGCCTGGTGGGATTTGAACTGCCAAATTGTAGGCACCTGGCTGCAGAAGTAGCTTGCAGTACTACACTCTAACCACTGCGCCACAGAGGCTCAATTGTATTGTTGGAAGATGAACTCTTGTCAGGCATATTATTGGCCTAGAGATTCAAGCTGCTAGAAAATTTGATGTTGTTGGGAGCTTAATGTAGCTAAACCAACACACATTCATAATCCAGTGTACAACTGTATGCTGCCAACTTGCTAAAAGATGGTGCCAGCCAGCAAAGAGACTAATCAGTATCAGTCAACACATTTCTGGTAGCAAGGCCAGAAACATATTTGTGTGGAAGAAATTTAGTCTATAACGAGTATTGGAGCAGAGATGAGAAGCACAAGGTTCTTCAGATGTGGTTGTTGGATTACAGCTCCCATAATTATTGGCTACTGTGGAAGTGTCTGATCTCAGTCCAGCAATATCTGCAAATGGATTCTTAAGAGACCTTCCCTCTAACTCTACTCAAGGACTGTTTGATGCTGTCTTACCAAGCGTTGGACAAGGAAGATTAAAGAGGGCAGACGCCTAAATGGAAAGCCAAAAATCAAATGCTTGGACCTGCTGGAAGTTTCAGAATTCCAGGAGCAGCTATGTACATGTTGCCATAGGAACAACATTCCCAATTATAGCAGCCATACAACTGCAGATTCACTGCTAAAAGAATACAGATTTCAAAGGGCCTGGGTGGCTTTTCCCATAATATCTAAGGTACTGAGTGCACTTTATTCTGGTTATGATTTCACTACCCCCACTCTGGTCGTTTCAGCTTTTATCAAAAATATGCTGAATTCTGATGCATACTTTTTAAAAGTGTTAACAATGTCTTCATGCTGAAAAATCGATTTCAGGCATCACATTTTAAATTGCTACAATATTACATGAAACAATAAAAATGAGAGGAACAAAACTATTTAATCACCCTTACATATATTGTTTTAAGATACCATCATATGATACCTGGCAAATATCCAAAGAATTATAAAATGTTTGTATATTCCTCTTTGTGCGAAGAAAAATTCAATCTCAAAAGCAGGATAAGTTTGACTTCACAATGGTCCTAATGGCCGATACAGAAACTTTCATTGCTTTTTGCATTCCATCACTAGCAGCAAAAAGGGGAAATTCTGTGAATGAAATGAGGAAAATGTACCTCAGGGTTTCAAGCAGAAGTGCTTCCCAACCAAAAGATATGAATCTTTCAACTGAAGATATTAACGAATCAGCTTAGTTTGTTACCCATACAAAAGCATGCTTTTTCTTATGAAGTTATAAGTTCTCTCATCACCTGTAAGTAAAATAGCCAGGCAACTAAACAGCATGTGCTGTACTTATGAGCAGCTATATATTCCCCCACATGGTCTTGCATTGCCATTCTTTCAGTCAGCAACTGGATCTAATAACTGCTATATCTTTAACAGATTTAAAGGATGGTTCATACTATTGGTTATATAGCCCTTCACAGCCAAAAGCTTTCAAAGGATGCTCAAGTCTTGGTTACCATTTACCTTTTCAGCGTATAAGAAGGGAAACTTCTTATGGTTTTACTATTCTTGGCCAATACAGGGTCTTCCAAATGTAGGCAGGACAATATCCCAGCCATAGGTTTCTAAATATATTTATAACACAACATCCATCTTACCTGGTCATGGAGATCCACCATGAATGGATGCTGGTGGGATGTGTGTGCCGCTGGGTGAAGCATTCGTGGTGGCGTGGTGGCCAGAACGTACGCTGGGTGCTCATCTACAGAGACTTGTGGCTGTGGCTGCTGCTGCTGGAAAAAAGCCGGGTGCAAGTAGTTCTCATCCTGGGCTAGGTGAGTTTGTAGAGGTCGCTCACGTCGGCCCCAGTGGTGCCAGAAAGGAGGGCTGTGGTGCCAGTTGCGGGGAGAGAAATATAAAGGGGTGACCCTAGGGGCTGGCCATTTATCTGTAATGACCTCTTAGCTATGAATACACCCATTTTTAATGTCAAGGTTAGGTCAACATAGTAATATGTGGGGTGGAGGCAGGTCTAGCTGCTCATGCAGCAAATTAGGCCATAAATGCAATTAGTGCATTCAAATACACTGATTCTGTAGCATAACTGCCAGGATTCTGCTACGTGTCATTCCTTCAGTCTGCAGAGAGATAATGCCACGAGAAGAAATGCACAAAGCACTCCATTTCATGGACAATCTTCTGGACATGAGGAGATACCAAGCAACTGGGCAAAATCACCTCATTATCTAGAAGTAGCTATAGTCATCAAACAAGCTTACTAGGAAGGGTTCATCCACGGACCATACCATTTCTGATATCTGTCCCACATCAATAGTAATGAAACTGTAATAACCTGTCCATAAGTTTATAAAAAATTTCTTGTTGAAGATCTATAAAGCTTTTCACCAAGAAACTGAACAAGTGCTATATTGGCTTTGTTATAGAAGGCAGTCACAGCAAGTTGAACAGAGATTATTTCAAAACAACTGGAGAGAGGAAGATGTGGACCTGTTTAATACTGACATGGGGGATTGTGAAGAAATCTTAGAGCCACTGACTAGGCTGGGAAATCCAAAAATATCTCAAAAGTGGTAGTGAAAAAACCACTTCCATGAAGTTGCAGAGAAGTTAATACGGACATTACTAAGTGATCAAGAATTGAGAAAAAATTTACATTTAATATGGAATTGAGTGTTGCTATTTTAAACCACATATGAATTCTTTAAAAACTAGAGGTGTCATCTGTAGTCATGCAACACAATCTCTGTGACATATTTTAAGGGGGCACACCAAGCCTCTGGATCCCCTGAAGGCCATAGGGGGAATGCTAGTTTGCACTGATTATCAACATTAATTAAAAGATATGAAGCACTGTACCTTCTCCTGAGGTGTGCTGGACTGCCACAGCTCTCCCCTGGGAATTGTTGCTGGTCAAATGGGACAGGAGGCCACCTATTCACTGCCAGTTCCCATGGTCGCATTGGGGATGTTCACAAGGCAAAAGGTGATGCTGGATCTCACGCTCCAAACGCAGTTCCACACTGGTTCTTTGGGATCTGCAAAAAGTGATGAAATAGCTATTGAACATAAACTCTGAAATAAAAAGAGTTCTAAGTTTTAAATCAGAACAACCTCTAGAAGAATTATTGTGCTGTTCAGACAGTATATAGTTAATTGGGAATTGGGAGCTGTCCCCTTAAAGGAATGCCTCATGGTAAATGTAGTTAATGCCTCATGGGAAATGTAGTTCATGTCATGTGATCACATCTGTAATCCTGATTGGTCACTGAATTGACCCTTGGTTGGGTTGGGGGAGTTTCCTTTATTCTTGCTTGGACCCCAGCATCTTGCTGGTGTCTTTCCCTTTGCTCCATCGTTATAGGATGAAGATAACTATATTTTCACACTATGAAGACGACTATGCAGACTGGACATTAGATGAATCTCAACGTAACTGTGAGTTATACCTTGAGGATGCCTATTACAATCCAATAAAAAAAATTTGTATGGAAGCCTTTGTAGAGTTTACCTAACTGTCTTTATATTCAGCCAAGAAAGTTAAAGACAGAACAGTTATGCTAGCAGGACATCACTTGCAGGCTGCAATACAACAGCAAGAGGTGAAAAAAAAATCTCCACATTTTCAGTGATAAGACTAAGGCTCTGATACTACTCTTCAAAAAGTATAGAATGTTCATAAGAAAACATCTTGGTAGAAGCCAAGACAGTTTTCTGCAAGGCTATGTATTTGCCTATTTTTCTCTAGCATTTTCAACCAATTCTAATAATCTGGAGAGCCAATCTGGTGTAGGGGTTAAGACAACAGCCTAGAAATTGGGAGACTGTGAGTTCTAGTCCCACCTTATATACAAAGTCAGCTGAGTGATCATGAGCAGTGATCATAGCCTTTCAGCCCTAAAGGCCAGAACAATGCAAAACTTGCCACAAAAATTACAAGGACTTGTTCAGACAATCACCAGGAGTCAACACTGACTTCAAAGCATGTACATAGAGATTTTAATCCTATATTGCTCAACTCTTCTTTTTAAAACAAGAATAATTTTCTATGCCTAAAGGACAGATATTGATGTTAAAGAAAATTTGGTTGCAAAAACAAATGATGACATTAAAGAAAATTTGGTTTTCTGAATGATATTGTGATGCAATAGTTAAAGAGTCCAATTAGGATTAGAACTGGGAAATTCCAAGACTGCTGCAGAATTCTATACTCTCATTTCTTGATCCAATGACAAAATGGTTCTCTTTCTCTTAAAATGTAACCTCCGTATCTTCATTTTCTTGCAGACATAAATATATCTTCATTGAATAACACAACGCAAATGCATTCTTATTACAATACTTGTTGTTCTAATGTACTCATCTTCCTGCAATTTTGTTTTGTCCTTAATGAGTACAGGCACGACCCCAGCAATATTCTGAAATTCCACGTATCGTGTCATTATTATTATTAACCCCATCAACATAGAACGTTAGTTTTATACCTAAAAATCATGGCAATATCTGTAGCCAAGGTTTGATAATAAATATGCAGAGGATATAAAAATTCAGTGCACAGAATATAGAGTAAGCAACCCAGAATTCTGATTTAGGTCAACTGTTATTTATTATCCCAATTATTTATTTTTAAAAAGTTATATGGCTGCCCACCCTATGTACCATAACACTGAGAGATTCCCAGGATAGCAATAAAAATACCTAAACCTCACAGAAACCATAACCAACATGGCTGGTATTCCAAAGGCAAATGTTTCAAACATCAACCTTTCACTTTACTGGGTGTTGAGGTAATTCCCCATTGGGCGAATGAGCGTATACAGGGAGACGTAGTGAGAGTAGTGAAGACACACACACACAGCACACAGATACACTGTACAGTAAATGTAGGTTTTACTTCCGATAAACGTTTAAGAAAAGTCCAAGACAAGCATTCCAAGTCATTCACAGGTAAAGCAGTCAGTTTTCAGTTCAGGGATAATCCAAATATCAAAGTCCAGTATCACAAACAGTTCAGTAACAGACTTACATCAAATCCAAGAATAACAGTCAATAGGAGGAACAGCAACTCTCTCCAACAGAAGTTAACAGAGACTCACTGAGACTTCATTCTGAGACTAAACAACCCAGGTTTCTGGCTCCATCTTATGGCCATTTGAGAAACCACACCCAATTACAGTTTTAGGATTCTCTTAATAGTATTAAAATGTCTATCCTAGTTTATATATTTCCAACCCAAATAACTGTTAGGTGACATATTCCTAACACATATTCCCACCCACCACCGTAGGCGCGAGCTCCCTCATCAGAGCTCTGGATCTCGTACCTCACTGATGGTTGATATGTGCCTTTGTGGCCACGTTGTCCATCATCACCCTGGCTCAGAAATGTTTCAATGCCAGGAAGATGGCCCTGAGTTCTAACCAATTTATGGGGCAAGTCCTGTCTACTTGAGACCACCTCCCTTGGGCCATCTGACCAGTCAAATGGGTCCCTCAACCCTGGAGACTGGCATCTGTGGTGAGCAGGATTCTGTCCGGTACCTTGAACAGATATTCCCTCCAGAGGGCTGGGGATTGCCACCACCGGAACGAGAGAAGAATGTGGAGGGACCTGCACTCTGAAGGAAGAGTGACTGGTTCCTGCTCGTTGAAAAGATAGCAGGAACCATTGAAGGGTCTAGGAATGCACCCTTGCCCAAGGGATGATACCAATACAGGAAATCATTTTCCCAAGATGTCTGGAAAGATGAGACAAAGGGACTGCACGTTGGCCTTGAATCTGAAGGATCATCTCAATGAGGCTTTCTCCTTGTTCCGGGGAGAGGGAAACCTCAGAAAGAGACGTATCAATGATCGCGCCCAAATGGAGTAACCTGGTCATGGGAGAGAGATGACTTTTCTTGAAGTTGATCGAAAAGCTGTGGTCCTGTAGAAACTGCAACGTAGTGTGGAGGTCTCGCTGTGTAGACTGGAGTGACATCAACTGAATCAAGTTGTCGTCCAGGTAATATTGAAGTCTTATAGGAACTGATCGAAGCGAAGCCACCAAAGCCGCCAGCACCTTGGTGAAGACTCTGGGAGCTGATGAAAGCCCAAAGGGAAGGGACAGGTACTGAAAATGCACGTTCTGGTAACAAAAATTAAGAAACTGGCAGTGATGGTGCCAGATGGAGATATGGAGGTAAGCCTCCGTGAGGTCAATGGAAGAGAGGAGGTCGCCCTCCCGAACACTCTCTAGGATCGAATGCAATGTCTGCATTTTAAAATGCCTATACAGGACAAACTTGTTCAAAAACTTGAGGTCGAGAATGGCTCACCACCACCCCGATGCCTTGGGGACCACGAAGAACCTAGAGTAAAACCCAAGGCCTTGTTGATCTGTCAAGCCCAGCTGTATGGCCCTTATGTCCACAAGGTGTTGAATGGCCGATTCCACAAGGGCCTGTTTGGCACTAGCCTGAGAAACAGGACATTTCACCAAAAAACATGGGGGAGGGGCGAGAGGAATTCCAGTTGCAGACTTGACCTCACTGTACTAAGTACCCAGGCGTCCGATGTAGACTCCTCCCATCTGGAGGCAAAGAATGCCAAACGGCCTCTGATGGGGGGGGAGAATGAGCATTTACTGGAGCATTGGAAGAAACGGCCTCCTCCTCCTCGAAAGGGCTGTTTACCCGTAGGTTGTTGCTGCCTGCCCCGCTACCTCTGGTCGTTGTTCCTGGCGCTGAGGGAACGCCCTCTGGTTACGGGAGAAGCGAGATGTGGACTCGGCCCGAAATGAGGAGCGACGGAAGTACAGAGTTGGACAATAATCTGCCCTCTTTCCCGTTGAAGAGAGGGCTTTTTTCTTGTCCCTGGTCTCGATCAGGTACGGGTCCAGGACCTCTCCAAAGAGCTTCTCTCCAGCGCAAGGAGCCAATGCCAACTTTCATTTTCGGCGGGAGAAAGACTGCCAATTACGCAGCTAGAGGAGCCATCTCGCAGTCACCGAGAAGGCCATGGCTTTAGAGGCAAACTTGAAAGAATTTAAAGGGCGTCTGCCGTAAATTCAGCCACTGCAATAATCTTGTTCAGATCTTGGCGTGACCTGAAGTCAGTTAGCGGAAAGCGATCTTGTAATTGATGCAGCCAGCGGAGCGAGGCCCTAGTGAAAAAAAAAAAGATGCTGCTGTGGAGGCCTGGACCACCCAGGCTGAGGCCTGGTGGGTACGCTTGAGCATTTGTTTCAACTTCCTATCTTCCGCCTTGAGCAGGTCCTCTCAGTGGGGGTGCCAGAAGAAAACGAGGCTACCACTAGGGCATCCACAGAGGGCACTACAAGGGCATTGGCCAATGAAGGACCCACATTATAAAATCGCCTGTCGTGGGATAAAGGTCAGGGCCCAGCAGCAGGGGAGGCCCCCTGCTCTTTAACCAGGTCCAGGAAAAATAGAGATGGGAGAGCCTCAGAGTGAATCATTGGTTTGGAGAAGAGGAAATCCCTAGGACCAGATAAATCCCCTTGGGGTTCAGGAGCCACCTCTTCTGGGGTCAATTGGATGGTGACCAAGGCTTTTTGAAGGAGAGGCTTAAATAAAGCCAGCTTGAACACAGCCGTAGAAGGGGGCTGCTGAAAGCGAATCCCCTCTTCCTTAGACATGTTAGGGTCTATGATCTCCCCCTCTTCTTCCTCGGATCCTGAGGATCTACTACGCTCTGAGGGATTGGTGTAACCCCTATCATCATAGTCCCCCAGTCAGACTGGGCGAAGGAACACTGAGCTCCTGATGCCTTTATGTAGAAGGGCCCCTTGGGAATAAGCTGGAACAAGGACTGACCCCTCCCTAAAGGACGAAGGAGCTGCTATATAAGCCTTCTGCTGGGCCCTGCTTGATGGCTACAAAGACCATATCTCGAATATCACTAGGCCTGCTGCCAGAGGGGGGATCAGCTGGGCGTAGACCTGCCGCTGAAGGAGTAAAGATAGCTTCAGGTCTAGACCCATGGGCACCTTGGGAGACCTGGCCAAGGGGGAGACTCAGAGGAGCTTGCCTAAAATT